AGTTCAAGGCCAGCCTGGTCTACATAGTGAGTTCCAGGACAGCTGGGGCTACAGGGAGACCCTGTCTCAAAAAAGACAAAAAACAAAACAAAACAAAACAAAACCCATATGCTACTAAATTTGAAAACCTAAAAGAAATGGATGGATACCTAAAGGCATGGGAACCACCAAAAACTAAACCAAGAAGAGATTAACAGCTTAAACAGACCCATAACACAAAAAGAAATTGAAGCAGTAATACAAAACCTCTCAGCTAAAAAAAGCCCAGGATTTACAGCAGAATTCTATCAGACATTTAAAGAAAATCTACATCCAATACTACTTAATTTATTCAAAAAGATAGAAATGGAGAACTTCCAAATTCCTTCTATGAAGCCAGCATCACTCTAATACCAAAGCCAGGTAAAGATACAACTAAAAAAGAAAACTATAGACCCATATCCTTAATGAACATAGATGCAAAAATTCTCAACAAAATACTTGAAAACCGCATACAGACACATATCAAAAAGATCATCCACCATGATCAAGTCAGCTTTATCTCAGAGATGCAGGGATGGTTCAATATAGGTAAGTCAATAAACATCATAAATCATATAAATCGGCTCAAAGACAAGAACCACATGGTCATCTCAATAGAAGCAAAGAAGTCTTTGACAAAATTCAACATGCTTTTATGTTCAAAGTCCTAGAGGGAATTGGACTGGAGGGAACATACCTCAACATAATTAAAGCCATATATAACAAACCCACAGTCAACATCATTCTAAATGGAGAAAATCTGGAAGCATTCCCATTGAAATCAGGAACCAGACAAGGCTGTCCACTATCTCCACTCCTCTAACATAGTGCTTGAAACTCTTGCAAGAGCTATTTAATAAGACAAGAGCAGTAAAGGAGTAATAATTGGAAAAGAAGAGATCAAATTATCCCTTTTTGCAGATGATGTGATATTATATCTAAGAGAGACCACAAATTCCACCAGAAAACTAGAAATTATTAACACGTTCAGTAAAGTGGCAGGTTACAAAATTAACTTACAAAAGTCTGTAGCCTTTCTATATAAGAATAGCAAGCAATCAGAGAAAGCGTATACGAAAACACTCCCTTTCACAATAGCTGCAAAAAAAAAAAAAGAATCTCGGAATAAACCTGACCAAAGACATTAAAGACCTCTACAATGAAAATTTTTACATCTTTAAAGAGATTGAAGAAGACATCAGAAGATGGAAGGACCTCCCATGCTCATGGATTGGAAGAATTAATATTCTGAAAATGACCATCCTACCAAAAGCCATTTATAGATTCAATGCAATGCCAATAAAAATTCCAATGATATTTTTCACAGAATTGGAAAAAAAATCCTAAGATTCGTATAGAAACACAAAAGACCTCAGATAGCCAAAGCAACACTGAGCACTAAGAGCAATACCAGGGGGAATTACTATACCAGATTTTAAACTGTTTTACAGAGCTATAGTCATAAAAGCAACACGGTACTGGCACAAAAATAGACCCAGAGATCAATGGAACAAAATTGAAGACCCAAATATGAGTAAATGCAATTTCAGCCACCTGATATTTGAC